AAATAATTTTTTTTTTTTTCAAAATTTTTTTGGACACTGGTGCGTGACTTCAGATTTTGGCCTTGGACCCTGAAAGGGTTCAATCAGGTTACGTTCTCTAATGAATGTTCGTATTTGGTGGGGAATTTAGCTTCAGAATGGTCAGCAAACATGAAGTCTTAAGGAGATTCATAACTGTGATCATTCCTGACTCTCATCCAAAAGTTGAACAAACGAAAGTGTGTTATCGTAACTGCTTGAAGTTTTGGCCATGCTGTAGGTTTGCACACCTAAAATCTTTCTATAAGATTTTGTGGTTTTTTTTATATGCTTTAGGACTGCCTTCTTCAGTAGGTTATAATTTACATATGATATCTGCGACAAAGTTGCATAGATATTCAAAGCTGTACCAGAAAATAACATCCTAACCTGGTAGCCCAGTTGGGGTCAGCAGGCCATTCCAGAGGGTTACGGTACTTTAAACCTGTTAATGTATGAAGTAATGTCATTCACCCTCGTGAAGGGAGGTAAATTAGGTGTTGGAATATATGCACTAGTTGCATGATGTTCAATTACTCTTCCTCTAATTGTTGTGTAAAAGTTAATTTTTTATTCTCTAATTCAAGGCGAGATTTTTCAAGCTCATGATCTTTTTGTCTCTCGCAGTTCTCTCTTGCTTTTTCCTCAACTTCTCTATCTTTTGCTCTTTCCTTAAGTTCTCTTAACCTAACTTGTTCCTCACGTATTTTAGCTTGTTCCTCACGTACTCTAGCTCTCTCCTCACAATCAAGTCTATCACGCTCCTTTTTCTCCTCTTTCTCTTTCTTGATTTTCTCTTTCAATTCAATCTCTCTCCTTTTTCTCCTCTCTTTCGATTCTCTCTCTCTCCTTTTTCTCCTCCCTCTCTTTCTCTTTCTGTCTTTCTCTCTCAATTCTTTCCTTCTCCATTCTTTCCTGGATCTTAGCAGTAATGAAAGCTTCTAAATTTTTCCCCGTTATTCCTAACTTACTCCCAGCGCTCATCCAAAACTGGTATTCCTCCATACTTGCAAGAATAACTTAAACTACCAGGGGAAAATGAAACGGATGTATCAAAGAAAATGGAGGGTTCAATTCCTGCTCCGCTCAAACTGTAAATAAATTGGAGGGTTTGATCCCTGCTTCGATTAAACAGTATGTGTGAATGAAAACAGAGGGTTCTATGCCGGCTCCGAGCAAACAGTAAGTAGAATGGGGTCCCTTGACCATCCAATCTTCTCACCCACAAATCAAGAGTGTCCTATGACGGTTCCCTTGATATAATAAATAGAGCTCAATGAAATAACTTGTCACTGGAAAATCTCGGGTCCCTAGAGTCTATTCCTCCAAATCGTTTCAAGCTCAAAAATAAAGGTGACAGAATTAACTAGTATATCCTGCCTTGACTTGACTTACAATAAATTGAGACTATAACAATCACCAAATCTTTTAAATACCTGTACTGTAGTCCTATCATAGAAAATGATTACTCATGGCTGGTGGTAACCGTCTGTGGTGTTCGGCGTTGAAGTTCCAATGGTAGATTCGAGATGGAGTTGAATCTTGATTCAGTAGAGTTGATCCTGGCAAGGTCGCCACTTGTGAAGGCTTACTCAGCCCTGTAACAACTTCAGACAGTATTACCAAGGCTGGCTCCTCCTCAGGAAAATTAATGAATAGAAAAAGAAATAATAATTCACAAAGATAAACACTTTATTATTTAGTAATGCAAAGATAAAACATTAAAAAATGAAGGTGTATCCTACTTGAAAGAAAAATGAAAAATGAAATGGAAAAATGGCATTTGAATTCAACGCTAATATGTACAGTTATACTGGGGTGTCTGGTTGAGGTTGACACCGTCTTGTAGAAATTGTAGCCGTTGCTGATGATGTGAGTGTGGGGGGGGGGGGGGTCACAGGTGTTGAGTGACAACCCAACGACTAGTTCTTCACAGAGTCTATAGCCTTGAATAGTCAGTCCAGATGACAGGAATGCAGGTTCTTTACCACTACAAAGATGAGGGGTAGTGTCCTGTACAATTAATCAGGTAGGTAGATTATAAGGTGACGTCCCAAGACCGGTTTCAGTCCGTCTCCAATACTTCTCGTTGGTTGGCAGGTGACCCGAACTGTCATTCCAAGTTGTGCTGGGAGCTGGGAGTCGAGTGATTACTGTTTGGCTGGAGCCCCACACGTCACCTTTCAGGGTGGGGAAAAAGGGAGGGGGGAAGGGATAGCGGGAGCTAGACTGGCCCTACCTTAACAAGCAGCCAGCAATCAAACTATCGTTACCATATACTCGCTCGCTACTCCTATCTGTTGAACTTTTCCCTCACATTCCCTATCTTCCAGAAGCCATCATTAGCCTTCAATAAAGGTAAGTAATACTTACATAATTGTTAAAAAAAAATATTTTTTGTGAATATTTTTGTCTGGAACGGATTAACTGCATTTCCATCAATTCTTAAGGGAAATATTAATTCGGTTTTCGGCCATTTCGGTTATCAGCCAACCTTCTGGAACATATTATGGCTGATAATCAAGGGTCCACTGTATTTGTTCAAGATGGAAGTCAAAGTGCTTGTGTTGGTATAAGATTTAGTTTATAAGGAATCACAGTCTGCACTAAAGGTAAAACTTTTTGCCAGGAGGGTATTTAAAAATCATCAGAAATTACATCATTGTATTCAAAAGAGATCAGAAATTAAACTGAGTGGCTACTTGATAAACAGGACAATCAAAAGATGTTTATCAACAAAACCTGATAATTCTCAGGAGCTGGGAACCTCTTCCTGAGATAAACGTCTGAATTACATGTCTAAAATTACATGTTCAAAAATTTATGATGGGTATTTCAAGTCAGTCAAAAGAGGAAGGACCAAAAGCTGGAGCTTAACACCCATAAACTCAAATAAATAATTAGGCAAATTACTGTATGTACAGTAAATAAAAAAAAATCAATACAGTGTCCACTGCAACTTCATAATGGTCCAGAACAAATTGAAATGGCATAGGGTTCCTTTTCAAAGTGAGGGTTTTTTTGGTGAATTGTATTGCACAGTGGATTACTACCTAAAATCAGTGCTACATGTGAAAATGTGATGCCCAAACATCTTTTAATTTAATTTTTTTTTTTCAACGAGTCGGCCGTCTCCCACTGAGGCAGAAATATAATAAAATTATTTTACAATAGTCTTAAAGGCACAAAGTGATGGGCACATTAAGAACAGTATATACAGTACATTATAAAAATGTTCACTTAGGATAACCCAATAAAGACAATGTAAATACTGTATTTCTTACCTTAAATTCTGGTTACTGGTGCATGATAGACTTGATGTCAGTAGAGGTTGCTGTTGCTCTACTGGGTCAAGGTGAATGGCAGGGGATTTGTGGAATGGTCCAGGGGTTCGTGAGCCAAGGTCAATGCATAATTACTGGAGCCCTCGGGTATTCTGTTACATGTCTCTGCTGTGTATTTTATCATGCAGTACTATATAGAGCTGACAGTATCCAGAATCTGCTTCAAAGCAGTGCTTCTGTATGTACCAGGGTTCCCTTATGTGAAAATGTATCCAATTTTAGCACACATGGAACTGTTGTAGTGTTACTGATAATCACCAGATTCTTCTTCCTCATACTTTTCTTTTATCTGATTCTCTTCTATCTGCAAATTGAGCTCCTCCAACATTTCCTCTGCAGTTCTTTCATCATTATCTAAGAGTTCATTCATGTCTTCTGACTCTATATCTTCAAAGCCCTCACCTGGCAATCTCCTTCCCAGGTGAATAATTTCCTGAGCCTGACTCTCTAATGAGACAAAAACCTGTGAAATTATTCACCACACTAGGCCATAATTTTCCCCAGTCTGCATTTATTGATGATTTGGCACATTATCAGATACAGTTTTGATGTGGGATATTGCATCTGTAGAGTTTAATTTACACCAAAATTGGCAATCTGGGCAGTGAATCAGTGTCCAATACTGTAAGGAGTTTTCTGAACCACCCTGAGCATGTTACCTTTGCTAGGTTTGAAGTTTTTTCCTATTACCGCAGTCCAGCCCTAGGCTAGGTTTGTCTGGTGCTTATCTGGTCAACTAGGCTGTTGTTAGTGACCTGCTGGCCCACATATCCATCATGGTCTGGTCAAGGTACTTAAATATTTGTCTCAACTCCTCCATCCAGTGGTTTTATCAATTATGTCATATTTGGTGGCTAAAAAACTTCACATTTAGGTTCACATCCTACAAGTATTTGTGATGACTAGGGAAATTATCAAGAATGAAAATAGAAAAGCAGGTATAACTGGACTTTGGAAATAAAATGCTGCTTGAACCACTCAATGAACAAGGCCTCAGTCAACCATGCTGTTTAGTTAGATTACCACTTGGAATGAACCTGAATGCCTCTCATTCCCCCAGCATCTATATGACCCCTAGGGGTTTTAGACCTTTCTAGAAATGTATTAACAATAAAAATTCACAAGACAGTTTCATGCTTAAACAACTTCTTGGCACCTTCTGTATCACTAGCATTCCTTTTTTTTTTAAGACATTAATACCTAGACATGACAAGGAGTGATAAAAAAAATCTTTCTAGAAATGAAATGATAATACACAGTAATGGTATAGCACGCATTCACAAGGTAGCTGATGGTTTGGCGGAGGTGATGGCATGGGTGGGGGGGATGTAAGCACCATACAGTGAGCTAAATCTACCATAAAACAACTGAGGTCCAAGGTGCTTAGGAAAAGAAATATCCCAACTGTGCCAGAGAAATATCTGGCCCTTTACAGCAAAACTAGAAACAGATCACAAAAAAGTGAATTGTGAAGTGATGGGAAACACAGTAGCTCAACACACAATAGGTGGTCTACTGCATATAGAAGTACTGTAATTTTCATATCTTCCATACAACATACCTTCCCTTTTTATTAATAGATAATTTTTAAATTTACACTGAGATTAGAAGAGGTTATTTTAAAAATAAAATGCAATATAAAAATGAGTTTTAATGATAAAATGATGATAATGTTGTATGATACATTAACTGAGATTTCCAGAAGACATTAATATAGATCAAATTTATATTTCTAAGCTTATTAGAAAAAAAAGTGCCTGCATTCACCTACAATATTTCTTGCACTGCATATTTGGTACATAAAAGGCCAATGGGCTGTAAACCTAGTAATAAACTAAAAATTTACATGTGTATGTGGGAATGTAAAACTCAATTTGCTTTAAGCAAATTTTGAATTAGATTCTTAATTAAACATAATTGCATATTAAAATTCGAGTTAACACTTAGAGAATTCTTTCATCTGCAAATGTCCAAATCCAAAAAGAGAGACAGTACTTAAACAATTTAACAAACAAATCTTTATATTACACTCTGAAAATATTTTTAAGTCTTCTCTTGAATATTAAAAATCATGTACAGATAAATTCTATCCAAAGACATCACAAAGCTTACCTTGCCTGTCACCATTGGCAGAATAGCCACTGAAGAATTTATGTACCATACACCCACTTTCCATAATTTTATCTAGTATTCATCTACACATGGGATGCTACTGGTGAACCTGTGTCATGGAAGGTGCTGGGGAATGAGCCGGACTTGCTCCTTGAGTCAACTGATGTAAGGCATGTTGACGAGCCCTCATCTCTGCAGCTTTCAACTGTTCCAGATGAAACTGCTGACGTTCTTGCAACAACTGCTGACGCTGTAGTTCCAAGCTCTCTCGTTCCCTATCCATTATGGTCTCAAGTTCTTCAAAGTGACGCAATTTGATTTCAAGCTTTTTCATTTGAGTTTCAACCAGCAGTGCAACCAAAGATTTAATTTTTCTTTCTTCTACTGCAGCTAAATGTTTTGCTTTTACAGCAGCTGATCCCAGAGCAGCACTGGCTGCCTGTTGAACAGAAGCATCTTTGCGTAATCTCTCACGCTCTGCATCTAATTTCTTTTCTTCAGGACTGATTTCTTCTTTCCTTTCTTCTTTGGTTTCTCCCTTTTCATCCTTCCTCTCCTCTTCTCCACTATCCTTTTTCTCCTCTGCCTTTTTTTCATCTGATTTGTCAATTTCCATAGCTTCTTTTTTTTCTTTATCATCTTCGTCTTTCTTTTCCTCTTCCTTCTTCTCACCATCCTTTTTAGCATCGTCTTTCTTTTCTGTCTCTTCTTCTCCTTCCTTCTTTTCCTCTCCCTCTGGCTCAGTTCCAGCAATACCTGATTTAGCTAAGCCAGCAGTTGGATCCACCTTTCCTTCATTGGAGGCTGCATGATCAGCAACATTCTTAATGTGAGAATCAAGCAGAGCTGCAGGTACTTCATCTTTGATTCTGCAGAACTCATCCATGGCTGCCTTTGCAGCTGAAGCCGCAATTCGAGGATCAACCACTGAAGCGAGAAAGGCAACAGTGGACATAATAGGGTTACCAGATTTACTGAATGGAATAGGCTGGTATGCCAAAGGTCCTAATGTAGTTGGTGATGCTCCTGAACCAACTTCTGAGTCTTCCAAATATGGATCTTCAATGGGGAGACGGAGAAATTGAAGGATACACTCATCTTGTGTTCTTGTTCCTACATGCTCACATACTTTGTTCCAGTCATCTTTGTACATCTGTAAATCAAGAACATTACATGGTTATCAAAATTCCTTTCATATTTTATTTCCTCACATAGGCAAATATAATGCTTGGAGCTATCATAGAGACTTGCATCAGAGATTTTATAGGCAGTGAGTACATATAAAACTGTAAAGGTTGATTACAAGTAATATACATAGGATTCCATTTACAACACTCACTTCAAGAGCTTCTAAAAGAAGTAAAGTTTCTTGTTCTGTCCACTCACGGGCTTGGCTGGCTGCAGACTTATTTTTGAGAGCCCCAGTTTTCTTAGAATATTGGTCAAGCTTCAGACCAAAGTCAGTACCAATACTGAATTCAGTTTTTTTGTCTAAAGGCTTCTTGTCAAAATCCATCAGATGCTTTGCTGCAGATGGCTGATTTACCTGCAAAAATTAAAAACAATACTGTACATGCAAAAAAATGGTGCAGGAGTGCTAAAAATAAAATTATCCTTCTAATCTAACCTAAAATCTTTCATCTTTATACTTCCACCTTTTCTCACTGCCTTGCTGTTTTCTTATTTATTTATTTATTTATTTATTTATTTTATGTCTTTGCAAACAGTACATTGAGATTTTGTATTTACAATAGTGGGTTGCAATGCAAAGAGAGCCTCTATTATGCCTAGGCATTATGGACCAACTTAACATTATTGGCTTACAGTCTACTTAACACTAAGGAGTATATCATAGTTGTACAGTAGGACAGTAATTATTTCATAGTTGTACAGTAGAATATTAATTATAATTGAATCAAAATTTGTATACAACCAGTTTCATCTTTCCTCTTTACCAACCCACCCACTATAATTAGACTATTAGTAAAGAAACCATGTTTATAAACAAATGATTATAAGCTGACAAATAGTGGCAACACTAAAAGGTTAACACTGGGATTTTATTGCCATGCTCAAATATACAGTGCTCGTCATTTCAGTACGCTGGGTGGAGGCACCCAGCAAACCTTAATAGTAAAAATAATACCCTGTCCTGTTAAGCATTTTGGCGAGACAAAAAGTTATGCTGGTCTGGCAACTTGTAGCAGGATGTCTCAGGATTCCTTAATGTTACTAGCTGCATCCAAAGTGCCTTCTAGCTTGTGTGGTGGACAGATTTGTCTGTGGTCTCCCTGTACCTTGTCTTGAAAGCCAAGTTTCTCAAACATTTTTGGCTAAAGACGAATTATAAGGGAGGAGTATGTCACTGATAAATGAGATTATTGCACAGATAACTGGATTAAGGAAGGCAGACAATCAAATGAAGGAAATAGTATAAGCCATCAGCATGTGTAAGCGTTCAGCAGGGACCTGATCACATCGGTTACTTAAGGACGGTGTTGATGACATACCCACACCAAACACACATCCAGGGAAGCCCAGAAAAATGTCCCCACTAATGTTAACTGTAATATTGTACCTAGAATTGCTCTGTTATTATTTGCTCGAATCTTTCACACAGTGTGGTTCAAAGATTTTTATGTAAGATGGTGTTCCTTGTCACACCATGAAATCTGTTAAACCATACCATGGACGAGGATAGAACCTGTGATCAGAGAGTCTCAAAACTCCAGACCTTCGCGTTAGCCACTGGACCAGCTAGCCACAATAAGATTCATCCAACTAGGTATATTTCTACACCATAGGAAGGTTAGCATAGGCACCACTGTGACCACAAATGCAAGTTTTTATAGACGAATCTCCAGCTAGCGTGGCTGTGACGAACTCTAGCTCAAGTCCCCTCAAAGCCGTCAACATGACTCACGAAATCGTAATGACACGATAGAAAACAAACCATACCACGGACGGGGATAGAACCCGCGATCAGAGAGTCTCAAAACTCCAGACCGTTGCATTAGCCACTGGACCAAGAGCCACAATAAGATTCATCCAACTAGGTATATTTCTACACCATAGGAAGGTTAGCATAGGCACCACTGTGACCACAAATGCAAGTTTTTACAGACGAATCTCCAGCTAGTGTGGCCGTGACGAACTCTAGCTCAAGTCCCCTCAAAGCCGTCAACATGACTCACGAAATCATACCTGTCTGTGGTATGATTTGTTTGCAATCGTGTCATTACGATTTCGTGAGTCATGTTGACTGCTTTGAGGGGACTTGAGCTAGAGTTCGTCACGGCCACGCTAACTGGAGATTCGTCTATAAAAACTTGCATCTGTGGTCATGAAATCTGTTGTTCAGAGGCTTCATGACAGTGAGGTACCCTTCTTTGATGACTGGCAAGGAAATTCCCCAGATTTGAACCTCATCGAGAGCCTGAGCTGCAGCAGAGAGATCTACTAGGAAAAGGGTATCAGCCCACTCCCATGGCTGGAGGCCACCTGAAGAATTTTTTTAACCACTTCCTAGATGGTTGATAGATACCCTAAAGCACAAGGAACGACCTATTTTGTGATCACGGTTTGGGGAGGAGTGGGGGGCTAGCATCATAAAAACTCTCTTGCCTTTAAGCATTTAATGTTTGTGGTTACTAAAATTAGCTAAATCTAGTTAACTGACAGGTTTGATGTATTTTCCTGCATTTGCAGCCTTGCCTGGGGATTGGTTTTTCTGCTGAATGTCTGTTCAACTAATCTTGTTACTGTTTGTGGCCCACTGGCATATACAGCCATCAGAGCCTGGTTACATATGTAGAGAAATTGGCTTTGAATTAAAAGAAAAAAGGGGAGGACAGGCTGTCTGTTACACACCAACTAAACTCTTCTACTTCCTCCTGCAGCTTCTTTTCTGAATTTCCCAACAGAACTGTCACCTGTAAATGCCAACTATGATGACTCCCATTTAATATTAGATCCATTACCTATGTAACACCATGACTTTCACTAGCATTAACATTCAGTTCTCTTTCCCGAATTACACACACACATTAAACAACTACATCCCACAACCCTGCTTAAGGTGGGAATTACAATGCCTGTACTTTAAAGGAGTAGTTTGGGGTATTTGCTGTTTGGAGTGACATCTGAACTGGCATATCTGCATGCCTCTGCAAAGACAGTGATTGTGTGAATGATGGTGAAAGTGATGAATAATGGTGAAAGTTTTTTTTTTTTTTTTTTTTTTGGGGGGGGGGCACCCTGCCTCAGTAGGAAATGGCCAGTATGTTGAAAAAAAAAGAAAAAATAACACACCTTAACCTGTACCTCCCTTTCTTTTTGAATCTCCTTATAGTTTCAAACTTACTGCTTGCTAAATTGTGCCTTTACCAAATCCACAGATGTAACATACAGCTCATTTTCCTTATTTAAGAACTCACTTATGTGATTCAATGCAAACACTTGATTTATACATGCCCTAAATATACAAAATATGCACTCACATTACTGTGCCTATTATATATGCATAGAACATTAAACTCAAATATAAACCCTCCCCTCAAACTGCCCCCTGATGGCTACAACAGCACACACAGGGACAACACAAGTCACAAAACTCTCTTCAACATTCCCATGCAAAAATCCAATGCAAGTAAAGGGCCCCAAGATCTGGTATACACTGCCTGAACCAGTGAAAGGTCTCCTGTCTGCCAATCAATTTAGAGCTATAGTTAAAAATCATCTCATATACCTAATTACACCAACACTATGATATATCAAACAAAACCAACTTATCTACATCAAACACAAACTTATCTAACTACCTCCTCTCTTCACCATCTTTTACAAAACCATTCCATAGCCTGAATCAGTTTAAAGTACAAATACATACTTAAATTTGTACTATTTTTGCTACCTCTCTTTTTGTAATAATGCATAGTTAAAATTGTACCACTCAAAACCTATGTACAGTAAGGCCCCACTTTACAGCGTTTTGCCTTACGGCGTTCCGCTAATACGGCGATGTCAAATTATGACCAAAATTTGCTATACGGCAAGCGTCTTTCAAATACGGTGCCCCCCACCCTGTTTGTTTACATTTTCTGTGACCACATCTATCATGTCAGGGAACTTTCCAAAATTTCAAGTGTTTTAAAGTTACTGCATATTTTATATGTGCTCTGATAATTATACTTATGTGTACTTGTACCTAAATATATTTACACACTGTGCTGGTGTGCAGGTACACATTAAAATCTCTAAGTCTCTCTACTCATGATGCCAATACTATGTAATAATAATCACTCTTGGGCACACTAAATGTCTTATTTTACATTGATATAGGCATTTTCATTAATCCATCTATGATATTTTCCTCAATATTATATATGAAACCCATTACATAGCATATAAACATGATCCATACACTCACAATAAAAACTTATATAAATATGCGATTTGTTTACAAAGCAGCTGTGTAGGTAGTGTCGGAAGAATTACATTTTCTCTAGTCAAACACTGGGGGGTAACTTTTTTTTCTTTCAACAAGTTGGCCGTCTCCCACCGAGGCAGGGTGACCCAAAAAAGAAAGAAAATCCCCAAAAAGAAAATACTTTCATCATCATTCAACACTTTCACCGCACTCACACATTATCACTGTTTTTGCAGAGGTGCTCAGAATACAACAGTTTAGAAGCATATACGTATAAAGATACACAACATATCCCTCCAAACTGCCAATATCCCAAACCCTTCCTTTAAAGTGCAGGCATTGTAATTCCATTTCCAGGACTCAAGTCCGAACTATAATGAAAATAAACGGTTTCCCTGAATCCCTTCACTAAATATTACCCTGCTCACACTCCAACAGATCGTCAGGTCCCAAGTACCATTCATCTCCATTCACTCCTATCTAACACGCTCACGCATGCTTGCTGGAAGTCCAAGTCCCTCGCCCACAAAACCTCCTTTACCCCCTCTCTCCAACCCTTTCGAGAACGACCCCTACCCCGCCTTCCTTCCATTATAGATTTATATGCTTTCCATGTCATTCTACTTTGATCCATTCTCTCTAAATGACCAAACCACCTCAACAACCCCTCTTCTGCCCTCTGACTAATACTTTTATTAACTCCACACCTTTTCCTAATTTCCACACTCCAAATTTTCTGCATAATATTTACACCACACATTGCCCTTAGACAGGACATCTCCACTGCCTCCAACCGTCTCCTCGCTGCTGCATTTACCACCCAAGCTTCACATCCATATAAGAGTGTTGGTACTACTATACTTTCATACATTCCCGTTCTTTGCCTCCATAGATAACGTTTTTTGACTCCACATATACCTCAACGCACCACTCACCTTTTTTCCTTCATCAATTCTATGATTAACCTCATCCTTCATAAATCCATCCGCTGACACATCAACTCCCAAGTATCTGAAAACATTCACTTCTTCCATACTCCTCGTCCCCAATTTGATATCCAATTTTTCTTTATCTAAATCATTTGATACCCTCATCACCTTACTCTTTTCTATGTTCAC